AGGTTCGAATCTCGTCCCCGAAAATGCTCGCTTCTTCAGCTGTGGGGTCATTATAATGTAACGGTCAATGCTACTATTCTTTGGTAAAGAGTAGTCCAAAAGTTGAAGGTGGGTGGTGTTGACTAGCTGTCTTATAAATTGGCGACTGCAAGCGCAAGATAACTTTGCATATTAATAAATAAATTGTTTTAAAAAACAACATTTTTCTACTGCTTGCAATATATTTGTAATTGAGATTTTAGTTATTCTAAATTAGGCTTTATCGCCTGAACTAGATGCTGATTCTGTATCATCAACAAACATATTAGTTTTGCAATTTCTTCACTAAAGTTATGTTTATTTCTAAAATCCATGTTTTGTTTTTTAAGATTTAAACCATTTTAATAGCAATGCCATTTATCCCTAAAATTACAATTTATTTTAATAATATTTGATTTCATACTGTATCAAATGCCTCCTATAAATCCAAAATGCACTCTAAGTATTCTTAAATATTTTGTGTGAAGTTTAATAACAGCTCTTTTGTATTTAACCCTTCTATAAGACCATATATATTTTTAGCGAAAAAAAATTGCTTATTTAAGTACTTTGTCAACTGATTTTCACAACTTTTTTTAATGTTGTAGAAAATACTAATAACAATAAAATGTATCTACAATTTACATAATTATTTGGTCACCTTTTTGTAAATTGGAACTAATATAGCTTCTTTAGCTCTCCTGGAAAAGTTCCTTTCGTGATATATAACTTATAAATATATACCAATGATTCTATAATAAACGTATACGCTCTTTTACAATTCGTACTGAAAATGCATCATATTCTTCACTTTTCCTATTTTTTTACTCATAATTATAGTTTTCATTCCCTAATTATAAATAGGAAATAAAGATATGCAATTATTGTTTCTATCTGTGTTAAATGTTTTAATCTCTATTGTTTTGTGGTTGTCAATCAATGTTTCTTCTTTATGCCACAGGGCATCGATCTATTATTGATATTTTTATAATTGCTACACATAAATTTTGTTCTCTAATTTGTCTTATAAATATATCATCTAATCATCAAATTGATTGGTCTACATCTCTAGTTGCTTCATTTATATATCTATATATGATTTAAAACCAAACACAGCCATTAAATCCATATACTCATTTATCTAATTTGTTTCATATAACAAATCAACGTTTATATCACCAACATATGTCGATTTTTTTCATTTTATAATATCTTAATACAATTTCTAGTTTATTTAATAACTCATACATTGTAAGGCTGTGTGACCTATCCCATCAACACTTCATTATTTTCAATTTGTTTACTTTTATGTTGGTCTTAACATAAATCATTACTCCCCCACATCTGTTATACTGTCTATTGTTATAAAACAGTTATACCCATCTAATTGATATCAAATTGATGCCTTATATGTACTGGTAGTTAGGGGTGCTCAAGTCAAAATGTGAGGGTCGCGGGTTCGAATCCTCGTCACCAAACATGCCGTGGGGGCGTTATAATGTGATGGCCAGTTCATTGGTAAAAGAGTAGCCGAAGAGTTGGCGTTGGGTGGTGATGACTAGCTGCCTTCCCTCTAGTCTTTCACTGCTAAATTAGGAACGGCTAGCGCAGATAGCCCTCGTGTAGCTTTGTGCGAAATTCAAAACAAACAAACCAATCCTTCATTTTTATCCATAACCCTCTCAGAATTAATATATTTACTTTACTTTCTAATTATTTTCTTAATTCTAAATTTTATTTTCCAATTTCATGTTTTAACTTTTATTTCAGTAAGTTCTAATTTGATTCATATTAAGCTATTTTTGTCAGGTCATACTTATCACATTTTAATTTCTAACTCTTTCTGTTCAGAGTATGCTTCTTCAACATCACTGTTAGGTAATAATCCTCCGTCTTTCAGTCTTGTTTTATCACCATCATTTATTTTACGTCGATCACACCTACATTTAGATTTTGCATTTCTTTTATTAAATTACAAAATTAATTTTCACCAAATTCAGCTCAGTAAAAATATGTATATTTCTTTTTTCTTTAAATTTTTTCGTGAAACACAAAATAAAATCCGTTAACTGAAAAGCCCCTTCACTAGACACCGTGCAAGTAGTC